AAAGAAAAAATTTCAATAAAAAAATTATCTTTTTCAGTATTTCGGTATTTACTATGAGGACACACAGAGTCCTTTAAATATAAAAAAAAAGGAGGAGATTGCACCAAACGACCTTCCATCCTCACCGTCGGTGCACCTCCTGGAACGACCAGAAGACGACGACCGTAAAGCCCTCACCAAACGTGGACGGTGGGCAAAGGGTGGGAGAAGCCAAACAGAAGCTTACGGCACAATGCAACAGACGTGAGTGGGTGAAGCAAGCAACGTGCACGGTGAGAGTTACATACAACACAGCTAGCAAATCAAGCAGACCCCACCAGGGCGGTGCTACTGACTGAAGTTGTCTTTAGGCCATTCCCAAAGGGGGGACATTAACAAATGATCTTATGCACAGTAGAATTGTAAATGGGCTGATTCATCAATGTCACGCTCATAACTGTGCCTGAACTGCAACAGGGAACTGCTGCTTTTTCTTTCCTTATCCTTACAATCGTCATTTTTCCTCTACTTAATTTTGTGTTTGTCACACTCTTGTGACCCGCTATTTCTGCTGTGCCTTGATAGTCAAAGCAGACTTTGTGCTGTTGAAACTAGAGGTGAGCAGAGTAACCCTGATTCCCTGTAAAGACTTCTCTGTTCCACCCCTTGGCGCTCATATAACCTTATGCAGTTGCGAGCACTGTAAAACCTTACTAAAACTACACTAAAGAGTTTTCTTCTTTCTCCATCCTTCTGGTTTTGAAATAATTCACTTTATCTTAGAAAGCACCGAGTTCCAATCGCGAAAATGAGAATTACATAGGATAAAACTGAAGTGAAATTATACGGAACGCAGGCACGACTCGTAATGATTTTTGACTTAATTAAGGAGGAGATTTTTTCCACTAGACTTGACAGTTGCGTCAAAAATTCCCAAAGGTCGGAAATTGGAGTACTCAGCTCGCAAACAGAACAAACAGCATTCCCTCCCCCTGCCAAGTACATCCAAATATCAACACATCATTTGCAAATCAAAAGAGAAAAAAAATCAAGCAACCAAAAAGCATACATGTAGAAACAATAAATGTACAAAACCCACATGAACCACATGAAGCAATAAATGTACAAAACCCACATGAACCACATGAAGCAATAAATGTACAAAAACCCACATGAACCACATGAAGCAATAAATGTACAAAACCCACATGAACCACATGAAGCAATAAATGTACAAAACCCACATGAACCACATGAAGCAATAAATGTACAAAACCCACATGAACCACATGAAGCAATAAATGTACAAAAACCCACATGAACCACATGAAGCAATAAATGTACAAAACCCACATGAACCACATGAAGCAATAAATGCTTAGCAAGCACCCACAAAGCAGTGAGGTATGGTAAAAAAAAAAGAAGGAAATTACTGTAAGAAATGAGAACAACCAATATTCTATGACCTTGTTTGAAAATATTACAGTGCAGCCTCTCTATAACGACCTTCGCTAGAACGACATCCTTTGTATAGCGACATGGTGCCCAGGTCCTGATTTTTTTCTTTATCTTATTAAAAAGTTTTTTGATTGCCTTTCTAAAGTGACAACTCTCTATAACGACATAAAAAAAAAAAGTTTTAGTAAGTATTTTATGGCACTTGCAACACAATAAGGTCATAAAAGTGCCAAAGATTAGAGATGTTACAAGCGAGTAACAAACACAAAAAAGAAGGAGGGGAGATACAGACGATAGATGTTTGATAGGAAAGAAGGAGCAAACCACACCTGAGCACCCGCCAACCACCGACGATATAACGAAACTTTTTTTCTGGTCTCGACGATGTCATTATAGAGAGGCTGCACTGTACTCCTAGATGCAGGAAGAGGTAGCCATGCAGATGTGTATGACAAAGGGCTACAACCAAACTGACTGCTGAAAAGTAACACCGATAACGTACAAACAACAATAAATAACCCATCCCCTGAACAAAACTAAGCAACTACCATGCGACAGAGTACAAAAAAAAAAGAAAAAAAAAGCCATGATTCATTTCCTCCACCTAAACTAAACATCCTTTACAGCCCATTTTTACCTTGAACCCC